GGTTTATTGTATCATGAAGTTGAGGGCTTATTAGAGAAATATTATTTTATCTGACAAGGGACAAGGAGTCAAGGATTTGCTGCATATTGAGGTGTAAACTAAGTATTCTCCGTTTAAAAAAATGTCCGCATATTCTTGCAAAGTTTGTCCTGCCTGTCTTCCCATCCTTCTAAAGAGGTCTATTACTATATCATTCATACCCCAGTGTGTTCGAACTAGAAATTCCTGAACGAAAAGAAAATTACGTCGAAAAACCGTGATTCTCAGCCAGAATGAAATTGGTCGTGCTCAGTCTTTCCTCCCGGGAAAAAATGCGGCAAACCTTGGGTCGCCTAAAATGAGGGCAACAAAAAAGCAATACGGAAAAACTGACTCATTCTATTTTTGATCTGTTATGGTTTTCAGGAGGTTCACCGCCACCAGTGTCTCCTGGTAAGATAAATAATTATACAAATAAAAAGGAAGATGGTCTATAAATCTCTTCACAAACTTCTCAACCTAAACCACTCACTATGAAAACCAAGGCTAACGCTATGCTAAGTTATCTCTTAACAGAAATACCATTTAGATTCGGATCTTTGAAGCTTTGTAAGATGTAATCAATTGACTTTTTGTGCCAAGGAGTGAAACGCCCACGATGTGTGCTACACACCCATTTAGCTGATTCGATTTATTGAAAAACAATTTAAGAGAAACTGATATTTAGGCAAGAAAAAGAATGAATGTTTCACAGTTTATGGGGAAGCGCTCTAAGACGATGAAATAACGTAAAATAATTAACATTCTTCTGAAAAACATTACTGAAAGTCTAAGCAAAGATACACAAAAATCATTGATAATATGATGAATCCAATGCAAAAATACTTGAAATGAGTTCCATGCTAAGTTTGGAAAAATCAAGGAAATGAATGCATCAATATCTCGCAACTTCAAGTCGACGCGCTCTTAGGTAATAAAAATGCGACATATTATCATTCTTTGTAAAATAGACCATTACCCAGGATATAGTGAGCTCTTGAAAATTCAGCTTCGATTTTGCGTTGTGATATAGATCAACTTTATTTGTGGTTTTTGTCTGTTTGTTTGATTTTTGTTTACATAACCAGAGTGTTCAGATTACCAAGTCCTCAGCGAAAGAGACCGCAACACAGCCTACA